TTCTCAGAAGTGTATTACCTTAGCAGGGGGGATAAATTAGCCCTAGATTAAAGGCGTCTCTGGACAGCCCTAACAGACTTAAAATCCATCCTCAAAAGGGTCTGACTGATTCCAGGTAACTTAACTATAGCCAACACAAAGGACATCTTCAAAGAATTAAAAAACAAAAAAACATCTAGTACTCAAAAATGTAAAATTCACAATCTTTGGCATCCAATCAACAATTACTGGTCATTCAAAGAAGTAGCAGAATATGATCTACAACTAGGAGTAAAATCAATCAATATAATCAGACCCAAGAATGACAGAGATAATGGAATTAGCAGATGAGGACACTGAAAGTTATTATAAATATGCTTCATATATTCAAGAAGGTGGAGGAAAACATGAAAGACTCAAAAAAAACCTCTAGAAATGAAAAATACAATATTTAACATGTAAAATATACTAAATGAACTTAACAGCATATTAGACACTACAGAAGAAAAGATCAGTGAACTGGCAGAGTACCAATGGAAACTATCCAGAATGAGGCACAGAAAGAAAAAAAGACTAAAAACAACTGAACTGGGCATCAGTGACCTGTGGGACAGCAGAAAGCAGTCTAACATGTATGTAATTAGAGTCTCAGAAGGAGAGGAGATAGCGTGGGACATAAAAAATATAAAAAGAAAGAAGGGCTAAAAAATTTCCAAATTTGATAAAATCTACAAATTCATATATCTGGGAAGCTCAACAAACTCCAAGCAGAATAAATATTTTTTAAAAACTCACCCAGGCATATCATAATCAAATTACTGAAAACTAGTAACAAAAAGAAAATTATAAAAGCAGCCAGAGAAAAGAAGACACATTACATACAGAAGCACAGATAACAATGACAAAGAAAAGAGTCAGTAAACTTGAAGATAGATCAATAGAAACAATCCAATGTGAACAAGAGAGAAAAAAAAATATTTTAAAACAACCATTCTTTTCTGTCAGCACTTTATAAATATATTCCACTTCCTCAGGGACCTGTGTGATGATAGCAATGGCCAACCCAGAATTCTATGTCTTAACGAGGAAGTAAAGCAAAATTTTTAAGAACTAGAGATTTGAAGTTAGATCTGTGTTTGAGTCCTTGGCTCTGTCATTTAACAGTCAGGTGACCTTGGATAAGTCATTTAAGCTTTGGTTACTTCATCTGTAAGATGTGAATAATACTTATATTGTATCTGATGAACAAATTCTCAGATAGCTCTTTACACAGAACTCAGCACAGAGTATGTGCTCAATGAGGTTAGCTATTCTCATTAAATTGTGTTTTGCATACTTTTAGTGACAAATATAATTTTAAAAATACCAACCTATGTCTGTATGGTTTATGTGGTAATTCTACAAATATCCAATCAAACTGTTATTCCATTCCTCAATCTTTCTAAGTAAATAGAAATTAAAGTTATTAAAATTTCTGGAATAACATAAAAAGTCATTTTCTTGTCATCTATTTTCCATCAAATACTATTACCCTAAATGATAAACTTCTGAGAGTAGTCATGTACCCGAGAGATAGTCCATTTTCCCCTTCTGTGCACAGCACCTTCTTATACTGAAAATGTGGAGCTTCGCAAGAAGCATTCCCAAAGATCCACATTAACAAAAGCTTAATTCTGACCTCTGGTCTGGGAGACTGGCTGCAAGCAAATCCAAAGCGCAAGGCATTAGTGAAAATCTACACTGAAATAAATCTGGTTACTCCTGGACACCACAGTTTGGGGTGGACTCTGCCCCTCATTTAGAAAAGGAAATGAAGACTGGTTCATTAGTTTAAAACTATTTCATTAGGATACTAGAGGAGTTAAGATTTAGAGTTTAAACAGGTAAAGAGGGACAAGGGGAATTTAAAAAGGGAAAACAGAGAGGATGCCCAGGCAGAAACCAAGGCAGAGGCCTGAAAGTGTAAGGCTTACTCAGGAGTCAGTGCCTAGATCCATGTTTCTGGAATAGAAGATCCACAGGTAATTATAAGAGATAAGATTGGAAAGATGATAATATTTCTTAAACAGTACAACAAAGAGCATTTTTTAATGCATTATTTTATTTGATACAGCAATCCATAGAGACAGGGCAGTTATTATCATGTTCTTTTTATTAAAGATGAAAGTAAAACTTAGGGAGGGGTAACAAAGTTACATCAACACGAGCAGCTAGACTGGGTCCAGGTCTTCTGACTCGCCCTGCGCTATGAGACCTGTCATGCCGCAGGCTACACACACTGGATGGAGCTCCTCACCTAGATTCTTACCCCACAGACCACCTATTCCTTCAAACCAGCTGAGAAGAGCTTTCCCGCTCACACAATGCAACTTCAAGTGCAGGGAGCCCTAGGAAATGGCTGCAGCCACGAGAGGCTTCCTTCCATTTAAACCCAGAAAGGCACACTGGTCCACCAGTACCTACTCCTTTTCCAGTCTTCCCAAGGCCTCAGGAGCCTGACCTATCTTCTTTTTTCCCTGCTGTCATCACTTCCATTCCCACCTGGAAGCTGTTACATAGTTGGCAAATTTTCCACTTCTTTTCTAACCTGTTATCTCTGCAAAACAGGTTTAGGATGAAAATCCACTTGGCCAGGCACAGTGGGACCCTTCCTTCCAGGAGTCTTCCCCAGAACAGCGTAATTACAGAAGTGACTCCTGGTGGAAAAAGGATCTACAGAGCCACCCCGACTCAATTCTAGTTTTCAGGTGAACTTATTTTCAAAAATTTTAAATGTAAGCATGAAAAAATCAGAATTGGATGATGAATTATAGAGTCTTAAGTGTCAAACTGACTTAAGTGGAGCCATTTTAAGATGGAGTCGAGTTGGAGGTGACTTTCCAGAGAAACTGCCTTGCACTCTTAAACCTTGGACTGGGCCAAAATGACAATTGTTTTATAAGCAATTGTTTGAGAAGTCAGCAAGGAGAATGGACATCCTGATCACAAAGACTGAGGATTGTGGACTTTCTGAAGATAGACTCAATAGTCAATCAATGTTTAGCCAAGACTAGCTCTCTGCCTCCAATTAAAATTCTTTGTAATACAACTTCCCTTCTTTGCCTTTAAAAGCCCCGGACTTTTACTCCCTAATGGGACACTGTTTGGGTTTCTACCTGAATCTCTGCTCCACGAATTGCAATTCTTTGATCCCAAATAAATGCTTTGCCTCTTAAACTAGTTTCTGTTTTTGAAGGTTGACATAAGCAATATATCAGAAGATTTCTATAGAAGAAACCTACTCCAAAAGGTAGAACTTCTCCAAGTCATATTAGATTCCTAATATTTAAAGTTTTTAAT